CCCCGGAGGTGCAGGATGCTGCAGGGCTGCTGAGACGCCCGCTCGAGGGTTTTCCACCACAAGGAAGCAGAGCAGAGGTGGCTGAGGGCCTGCTGTCGCTCAGGTAGGGATGGGAGCTAACGGTGGCGGTGGAGCAGCTCAGCCCCAAGGCAAGAAGGCACACGGGGAAATGCCCAGTCGCTAACCAGGCCCCCAGAGCTGCTCCAGGCGGGCTCACGCGCTGACCTGTCCCCAGGCTGCGGAGGGAACCTGCAAAGAGCCGGGAACTGAGTGTCCAGGCGCCCCAAAGTCACTGCCTTTAGCCCAAAACTCTTCATTTCTCCTCTCTGCCTTGTTTTATCTGCACAGCCCGGGAGTGCAAACGCTGCAAAATGGTAAAGACAGGCACAAGGCAAGGGGGAGAAAAGAAAAAGCTCTTGGGAGGAGGAGTGCAGAGCCCACGTGTTAACTTAGCCTGGCAGTCCTTTCTGCCTGCAGCTCCAGCAAAAGCTCTGACAGTGAGGCTTCTGCTTTAAACTCCTTGCAAGGAAATCCTGCCTGGGGAGCTCAACGGGGAAAATTCCCACGTTAAACCCACGCTGCTTGGCCCATCCTCCTCCTCTGCAGCCCCCTCAGAGCTCAGAGCCACAGGCAGGCTGCCGGACCCTCCGGGACGTGGTGGCTGAGGCAGTAGCGCCTGTTGCAGTGGAGGCAAAGCTGTCCCAGGGTTGTGACGCTGGCTTTGCAGCGGGGGAAGCCGCAGGTGTTGTCAGCTTTGATGGCAGCAGAAATCAGAGCATCGATATCTTCTTCTGCCACGCTGCCTGCTCCGCTCTTAACTGCCGGCTTTCCTGGAAGAGATCCAGACGTTTAACCGCCTGCTGGGAAGTGGAGAACAAACCCAAGTGACCCGCAGCCACAGCCCTGGCCAGGGGGAAGCTCTACGGGTCTGGGGAGTCACCTTTTGCAGCAACAAGGTTTTCGGCTGCCGTGGGACCCGTTGTGCCAGTAAACTCTGCTCTGTGTTCAAAGGCACTAGCAGGAGCTGAAGGCTCCCACCCACAGCGTGCCTGGGTGCCTCCCTCTGCCCAAAGGAGGCTGGGGAAGGGGAAGGGACCGTGTCTGGCAGGGAGGATGGCAGCTGCTGGCTCTGTTGTCCCGTCTCCACGTTCAGGAGGCAGGCATGTCCTTTGATGTGGGCCAGGTACCCCTTCTCTACGTTTGGGAACCTCCAATCTAACTCCTGAGCCTCTCTTCCTGCAAAAGGGGCCCCAGTGTTTTTCTCTCAACTTAAGAAATGTGCCTCCAGGCACCCAAACCCCCTCTCCCCTAGAGGCTGCAGGCAGCTGACGAACTCTGCCAGCTCTCACATCTCTGCAGTGACAAGCATCAGGGAGCTTTCCAAGAGCCACATCCCGTGCTCCACGCACAGAGACAAATCCCAAGGCCCAGAGGCAAAAACACGGGCATTAAGTAGCACGATCCGTTCGAGGAAGACGACTAATTGTGCTGGGTACAAAGAGACTGACCTACCTTTGGCTTCGCTTTTCTCTTTTTTCCTGCTGCTGCCCTGAAGGCTGGCACTGGGCTCCTCAGCCTTCCTCGCTGCCTCCTCCTGCCTGGCTTTCTCTCTCTGAACCCTCTCCAGGTGCAGGGTTTTCAGATCTACCTTCCCTGAGCCCCAGCTGCTTCCCCCCGGCTCCGCGGGGACAGGAGTTTCCCTGCCGGGATGCTGCGGCTGGGGACGGGGGAGCTGCTCGCTGTCGGGGGTGGCTGCGGGCGGCGAAGGCTCGGCAGGCTCTTTCTTGCGCACGCTGATGTACCGCTCCCTCCCTTCCCCGCTGCTCCCGTGCTGCAGCCCGTACTCCTCTGCCAGGAGGTGAACCAGCATCCGATCGTGAGAATTGAGGGACGGGGGGAAATCCAGCTGTGGCTCGCTGCTCTCCAGGAAGGCCACCAGCATGGCCTTGAATCTGTCGGCACTGTCTTCTCTCGCCGGGCTCTGCGCCCCAGGTTTGCTTGTGTCTGGGGAGAAGCGCA